AGATATAAGAAGGAAAAATACAACCAAGGAAAGCCAACTACATTCAGGAAAGCACAGGAAATTATTAACTTCACTATAGCAAAACTAAAAGTAGACTAGCACACAACCAACAGCAATATCAAAACATCTATCAGCCACTGGTCATTAATCATCCTCAATATCAATGGATTCAACTCTACAATAAAAAGACACAGACTAACAGACTGGATATGTAAACAAGACCCAATAATCTCTTGCATACAAGAAACACACCTAACTCACAAAGAAAAACATTACCTGAATGTAAAGGGATGGAAGATGGTTTGCCAAGAAAAATGGACCCATGAAACAAACAGGAGTAGCCATTCTACTATCTAACAAAATAGATTTTCAACCAAAATTAATCAAAAGAGATGGGGAAATTCATTTCATACTCATCATAGGAAAATTCCACCATGAAGACATTACAATTCTGAACATCTATTCCTCAAATGTAAGAGCATGCACATTTGTAAAAGGAACATTAATCAAACTAAAATTACACATAGCTCCCCAAACTTTAATTGTGGGAGACATCAACACACTACTCTCAACAAAGGACAGGTGAACAAAACAGTAACAAACAAAGAAACAAAGAGTTTGACAGAGAACATGAATCAAAAGACATCTACAGAACCTTTTACCCAAACAAAAAAAAAAAAAAAAAAAATTACATTCTTCCCAGCACCTCATGGAACCTTCTTCAGAATAGACCATAGAGTTGGTCACAAAGCAAGCCTCAACAGATACAAGAAGATTGAAATAATCCCTTGTATCCTATCTAACCACCATAGAATAAAGCTGGACCGCCAACAACAGAAATAGTGAAAAGCCTACACACACACAGAAACTGAACAACTAGCTACTCAGTGACATCTTGATCAGGAGAGAAATAAAGAAAGAAATTAAAGACTTCCTAGAACTCAATGAAATTGAAGGCACAACATACACAAACTTATGGGAAACAACAAAAGCAGTGCTAAGAGAAAAATTCACAGCACTAAATGCCTTCAAGAAGAAATTTGAAACATCTCATACAAGCAACTTAAAAGTTCACACAGGGAACTTCCCAGAGACTCATACTCCAACCAAGGACTATTTGTGGAGATGACCTGGAACCCCTGCACAGGTGTAGCCCATGGCAGTTCAGTGTTCAAGTGGGTTCCATAGTAATGGGAAGAGGGACTGCCTCTGACATAATCTGATTGGCCTGCTCGTTGATCACTTCCCCCTGAGGGGGGAGCAGCCTTACCAGACCACAGTAGAGGACAATGCAGCCACTTTTGATGAGAACTGATAGACTAAGATCAGAAAGAAGGAGAGGAGGACCTCCCCTATCAGTGGACTTGGGGAGTGGCATGCATGCAGAAAGGGGAGGGAGGGTGGGATCGGCAGGGGAGGAGGGAGGGGCTCATGGGGGGATACAAAATGAATACAGTGTAATTAATAAAAAAAATAAAAGATTTAAAAAAATAAAAGTTCACATGAAAACCCTAGGGGGGAAAAAAAAGAAGCAAACATACTCAAGAGGAAGAGATTGGTAGAAATAATCAACTCTGGGCTGAAATCAATAAATTAGAAACAAATAAAAAAATTAAAAAAAAATCAATGAAACCAAGAGCTCTTTCTTTAAGAAAAGATAGACAAACCCTTATCCCAACTAACTAAAAGGAATAGAGACACCATACAAATCAAGAAAACCAGAAACGAAAAAAGGGACATAACAACAGATACTGAGGAAAACCAAACAATCATTAGGTATTACTCAAAAGCCTGTATGTCAGAAAATTTGAAAATCTCAATGAAAATGACAATTTTATTGATGAGTCCACTTGCCAAAGCTGAATCAAGACCAGAATCAAGACCCCACACTTATGATTTTTGACAAAGATGTCAAAACCATACAATGGAAAAAGGATAGGATCTTCAACAAATCATGCTGGTCTAATTGGATGTCTACATAAATCAAGTATATAGTCCTATATGCCCTAAGGAAATAGAAGCTGTCATCAAAATCTCCCATCCAAAAAGAGCCCAGAGCCAGATAGTTTCAGCACATATGAATTCTACCAGACCTTCAAAGAAGAGCTAACACCAATATTCTTTAAACTATTCCACAAAATAGAAACAGAAGGAATATTACCAAACTCATTCTATGAATCTACAGTCAACTTGATACCTAAACCTCACAAAGACCCAACAAAGAGAATTTCAGGTCAATCTCTCTTATTATCATTGGTACAGAAGTATTCAATGAAATACTTGCAACCGGAATCCAAGAACACATCAAAGATATCATCCACTATGACCAAGCAGGCTTTCTC